GTAATATGGTTTTGGCACGAGGTCCAATGCCCCCATCACTCATATAAGCGTTCGCTCATTATAATTCGGAAATGACTAACAATTTTCTACATCGAAATTGTCGTAAAAGCGCTCGAGTGAGACATTACTGCGAGTTTGTATTCGTATGTTTCATTAGTCAATAGTTTTTTAAAACTGGTGTGCTCAATTTATACGACGACCGGAAGTATAACGGACATCTTTCAATTAGACGCATGTTGTCTATCGGCTTTGTTTGTCTACTGGCAGCCGTCAATCTCAATAGTCTGAATCTCGCAACACAATCACGACGTAAACACAACGCATACGTTCATTCACACACACACACACACACACACAACAGTCGTATGCACGAAAATGTGTGCGTTCATTCAAGACGGCGACGACCTCCTTACGTCACTTCCGTCGACGTCACAATCTTACAAGTGGGCGTGTGAACGCGCCCTAATAACACGATACATTTTATGTTATGACAGCTTGCATTCGGATGTATCAAATGACGAGATAACCGAAAGGGTTGTACAATAAAGCGATCTGGTAACATGTAATTTATCAATTTACATGTTTATTCATTTAGGCCAGTTACTGTCAAGCTTCTTTTAATAGTTGTGTAATTCTCGGCTTCCGGTGCAACAATTCCTTTGCCCGGTTTTGCAAAAAAAAAAACATTAAGAGTCAATTTGTTGGTGTCGCGCCGGGGGGCAAAGATGCGGGACGGTATACTGGTAATTTGGGCCAAGTAGTCCAATTTTAGTGGTCTATTGTGGCTCAAGGGGCCCAAGAATTGTTCCTTCAATTTGTACAAACGCCCGCATGTCAATGCGAATGTGTATTACTGTCGGATGCTGAGTGTCCTTGTTATTTTTCCGGTTATTATAACGCTTGAATTTATATACTACATTTTACAAATTTATATAATATAATAAATAAATAATATATAATATAATAAATAAAATAAATTTACATAATACTTAATAAATATAGATTATTTATTAATACATATTTGATCAATAAAATGTTTATATTTCGTATTCTCTACAAACTATATTTTTTTTTATAGTACATACTTAGATAGTGATGTATGGGAGCTATTAGATTAAAGAATTGGATACAAATTATGCACTAGTGACGTTTTACGTCGATTCAATGACAGAATTAACTGACAATGGTATCTGATATCTTAGAGATACATTCGGTTCAATTTTGATAGGTTTATTTAAGAATAATAATATACATATAATAAAAAATAGTACAGATGTGAATTGTATTAGACTTATTGTGGTTATATTACAGAGAAGGAGAACAGTGCTTCTTTTTTTTTACTAAACAACAAAGTTATTATATATATCGGACAAATAATTTAATCAGTTAATTGATATCATGTAGAAATTGAATAATGTTATAAAGACCTCATCCTCACAACTTTGTCTGCGTTTCATTTTCCACCTTTTGCAATATTTTTAATTGCTGCTCCGCTCCTATTGGCCGTAGCGTAATGTTATATATGTAGCTTAAAGCCTTCCCTGACAAATGGACTATCCAACACAAAAAGAATTGTTAAATTCGAGCGAGTAATTTCTGAGACTGACGCGTTCAAACAAACAAACAAACTCTTCAGCTTTATAATATTAGTATAGATAACCATTACCATTCAAAATATACATTTTGAATTTAGAAGCAATTAATTTGAATACTTTATATTTTATATAAAAAAATCCAATTTAAATTTATTTTCTAAAAAAAATTTTGAATTTGGAAGCATTTATTTGAATGCAAAGAAAATGTAATGAAACATAAAATTAAAGTTACATAATATTTTTAGGACAATTTTTTGAATTTAGAATCCAACATTCAAAATACCAATACAAATATAATCAACTTTTTTTTGGGAACATTAAAATACTCATTATCATTGAAGAATAGTGGTTGAGTTTAATAGATTTTTTTTCATTGCAAGGTGTCGATATTTATTCTCAATCGTCTCGTGCTTACACATCCGATCACAATGGTGGTACGTGATCCAGTATAGTTAATGTGGATCAATATATTGTACAATTGAATTTAGAAATTCTATTATATTGCACAGATGTTTGGTTTGGTTTCGATTTCGTTTCGCAACTGAATTTGTCAGTTAAAGATGTTTTCTTAATCGTCTTAAATATATCGTATTGCATTGTTTATGTCAATCTCTGCCAGAGGTTATATTTCTTGTTTTATTCATACTAATCTTATTAATATTATATACGCGAAAGTTTGTAAGTATGGATGTTTGTTACTCTTTCACGCAAAAACTACTGAACGGATTTTGATGAAACTTTACAGTAATATAGTTTGTATATCAGAATAACATATAGGCTATAAATTTCACGCGGGTGAAACCGCGGGCACAGCTAGTATTATAAGTTTGAAAGTTTTTGTCGGTTACCTTAATGAAAATTTATACGAATATAGATTGTATCTCAAAAATTAATAAGCTATCTTTTATCAAAAAAGGCAGACGAGGTCGTGGGTAACGGCTAGTAGTATAAACGAGAAGGTCTGTTACCTTTTCACGACTAAACGGCTGAACGTATCTTAATTGATATAAACATACGCAGTAGATTATATTACCAGGACGCATATAGGCAGTTTTTTATTTCATAAAATTATCGGAAAATGGGTTGAAATTTTATGCAGACGAAATCGCACATAACAGCCAATAAATATATATGTACATATATTTATACAGTTCATAGTGTATTAGTTAGATTATATCCTTTGAATTTCTAAAATATTAATTGTAAAATATTAATCTAGATTTAATCAAATTTCATTCGAAACCATTCAGGAGATTGAATAAAATTATCCAAATATACAAACACTAGTAATCCACCCCGACTACGCCCGGATGTTAAAACGGATTTTGTTGTAAGGAAAGTAAATTCAGGAAACTACGGATACAGTTATACCTACGGATGACTACACAAAGAAATATAAATACACATTAATTTATAATATAAATTACTTTATATTATTATTAATTTAATTACAATGTCATATAATTTTATACTTACCTATATAGGTACTAGAATTGTAATTCATGAAACACTAGCTGGCCGCGCGGTTTTTCGCGTGCTATTCCGATATCTTTACATAGTACAAAATGAAGTCGCTTTCGCTGTCTGTTCGCTTAGATCTTTTAAATTACTCAACGGATTTTAATAAGTTCTATTCTATTCTATTCTATTCTAATAAGTTTAATTTTTCTCTTTGTTACGCGATCGGAATTAAACAAATTAAATGTTAAGACAAGCTTCTTACTACATGTCAGTGAAAACCGTAATCAAACCGTATGATCACCGTCGTAATAAAAAAAATGTATATGTTTATTTTTTTAATATTTGATGGATACAGAGAAGATTCGATCGTTGATGATTTTTACAGTCATACTAGAACTTACGTAATTAACAGTAAATCATTCATTTCATTCATAAATCAGTCTTCAAATATATACTGACAGTATCACAAAGGTTAAGTTAAAATTGCCTACCAGGTGTCGGAGGCGGGCGCCTGCGCATCATTGATCGTTTATTGCCACTTCTGAAGTAGTTAATTGAAAAAACCGGAAGCAATTTGTACTAACATGCATACATTGTAATGTCTAATATTGTATATTAAGATTTATTAGAAAAGTAATACACAATTTTTATTTTATTTTAGTATTAAAGGAATTTATATTTCAGTTTTACAATCATCATTATCAGTGATAAGTAGCAACTTTTTTTAGGTACTTAATTTATATTCAAAAAGCAGAACTCGAAATTTGAGAGCCTTTGCTGTAAATTCTTGAAATTTCAAAAGAAGGTAAGATTTGTATGTTTAAATTGGCAAAAATAATAGTTAAAAAATAAAAGTTTTAAAATCGAACGCGGTACGTTCGCTTTTCAAATTTGGAATGTGTATTTTATTAATAAAATGGAACGCCAAGAATTTTTACAATATTCCAAACTTAAAGTCCCTTTACGAATAAATTCGATTTTGTGTGAAACATAACGGTCTCTATACTTGATAGTGCAAACTGAAATGGTCGCTGAAAATATAATTTCGCATAGTTTTAGAATACCTGAACAAAAACAATAGATACGCCCAAAAAGTGATAAATTGTAATTCACAAAAAAATCTAATGCAGCACTTTCATACGGGCATCGAACCCAAGATTGTTTCGGATGTAAACAAAAAACGGCGCGCGCGCACGCGCCCTCGCCGGGTGGTCGTACACGTGCTCACCCCTATAGATCGATATCGATAAGTTATCGATAACGTAGGGAAGGTAAGATGGCTTAGTTATATTACACATGCTACTTTAGCAGCTTTGGCAGTGGACACTTTCTATATATAAAAATAAATCAGAAGGGTGTGTTTGTTTGAAAGCGTTAATCTCCAAAACTACTGTTTGTTATTGAAACATTTAATTTAATATTTTATAATGATTAGTTTAGGCAACTTGATATTATAACAAAATTGGCCTATAATATATATAAATGCAAAGAAAATAATAATATTGTCTTTGTATTTTTTATTTGTATACTCAAAAATTTATAAGATTTTAAACCATTACACGAGTAGTAAACGAGTAAAAGAAAAAATTGACAGAAATGCTAAATGAAAACAAAATAACTGCAAGATAATCTACGGGACAGAGCTTCTGATTTACAAGTAGTGCTTGTTTTGTTCCAACAAAAAAGACTTCAAAAAAGATATATTTTAAATCTATATCTTTAAAGTCACGTGACAAAATCGTAAAAAAAATCTATTTCTGTCAGTTGTTTACCTTGAGCACAAGCTCTACGTCTGAATTAATGACTCTATCTAATATGTACTGAGTTATTTATTTAAAAAAAATAGTTTACTGATAGTTCTCGCGCGGTGTTAAATTTGTTAACTTTATAATGACGGTATTTTTTTTTTATTCCAGATCCATCGCAGGCCTCTGGCGTATTTCACATCGGATAGGTGTACAAAAATCATATTAATGGTAAGAAAACATCTATGTAAATGTAGACTTTACTAGCAACTTTCCATATTATTTTTATGTTCACATCAAGTTTCACCTATATGCTTGTAACTCGTAATACGTCATATTATTACTCATAGTAGAAAACGGTTGATATATTTTTATTTGTTGCCGATTTTGTTATAACTTCTTTCCTTTCTTCATAATATTTTATTACGTCACATATATTTATTTTAATTAATATCTTTATGTAAAATTCAAAAGTTCAAATTGTTTTTTCATTCTCAATTTGAATTTTGAATTTGCTAGTTGCCAGTTAGTAATGTAAAACCGTTAAATCGAACATTAATCAAGAACGCAGTTTTGAATATCGAATGCCAAAAGCGAAGCTATCGCATATCAATGCAAACCCATCGCAACTCGACGTGCTTTGTGTGGCCATAATCAACATTAGGAACTAACAGTCACCAACTGTTTTTGATGATGTATATTAGTAATATTCTTTTATATTAGTAACTGTTCAAGTTCATGAATAATATGAAGAACAAGTATACCTAATAATAAACAATACTTCTAGGCGGATATCAGTCAAGTAAACGTATTTAAAAAAATTGCGGTTTATTATGAAACCTACTGGGTATTTATTGTTGAAACAAAGCGACTTTGTTTATCAGGAAATAGTTTATGTTGCACGATATTTATGTATTATATATACCAAATAACAATAATAGCAGAAAATTGTAATTATAAATAAATTAGAAACGAATTTAATATTTGTTCAATTTAACTTCCATAAAATAACATGTGTTATGTTTTTACGCAAAATTTTACTATAATAAAGGAATTTATGTGGTCTATAATCAGTATAATCACACATTGATCCACAAGTATTTATACTATTGGCAAAATAATAAGCTTAAATAACATATGGTTAATAACAATACACCGAGTTCGCTGAATTGAGCTTCCATTTCCTTATTTCGTGGCCCAACTTTTCGCCTCCATGATAAGACATGACGTGTCCGTTATGAGTTTCTGATCACCTTCAGTTGAATGATGTCCAATACGCCCCCAACGCTATGCATGTTCGATATTCAAACCGTGAACATTTTTGAAAATTATAAATAGAACACAATGAAAATAGTGTTTTAATTTCGGAACCTGGTTTTTAAAGATAATAATAGAACAATATTTGGAAATAGTGTTAAATTTTGGAACGTGATTTTTTAAAGAACGTTTTTTATGTCATACGAGTGACAAACAACGTGACAACCTACCTGATGATAACTGGTAACGTCTGTACACAATAATACTTATAGATATCTTATTATTACATCTACAGACGTTACTATAGTATATAACATTCATCATACCTTTAATCCGTTGGTATTCCGGAGTAATAAGATTTTATGCCTCTTATATATCTATACTTTATCTGATGCTTTAACCAAAATACAGAGTACAAAGTAAGCTGCTAAGCTGAAATATGTGAGACTGACCTTTTACCACTGAGACAACTTTTTACATTTTTGCCTACCTCGTAGCCAAATCTAGGTAACGTCTAAAAAAATTAGACTATAATTATAACATGGCAGTCGTAATAGGTACCAGACGCAATTTTTTTTCACGGTTTATAATTGTACACAAAAAGGTAATCATGGTAAATATACCGTTACACATAATAAGTACTTTATCATACACACTGAAATTAACATGCCGTATTGTGGTAATTTTGTGGTTTAGTTCTTTTGTTTTCTATGCTTATTGTATACTGTAAACAACTGAGTAAAACATTGATTTATTATTAATATTTGAATAGGTATAACCACTATCTAAATAACATATAACGTGTATATATACATATTATGTAAATGAAACATTTGACCACCCAATTAAAATCAATGTCAATAATAAATGTAATTAAGAGACTGCTATCAATATCAGATTATAATTTCAATGGCAACACTCGAACAAGCGCTGTACTAGAAGACTAATCAATATAAGTAGGCACAACTCATTCAGACGCTATAATTCCGTTAATAAAAATACGGAGAGGACGGCTCAAAGGGGGCTCGGTGGGGGTCGGAAGCGCAATGGGCTTCGGAAAATTCACCCGGTGAATGGAAAACGCGGCGATAGACAAACAGCCAGGCTGACCCCGTACCACTGCCCCCATCACCCCACCTAACGTACATTTTGAAATAATGGCCCCAACTGCTGCGTTATGCCCACTACGTAGCCTTCCATTTTCGAAATTCGTTGCGTGCACTATTTTTAGTAGGTACAGATTATATCTAAATCTTCAGATATATCTATATTTTGAATTTCGAATAACATAACAATAGCGAGCGTCATGTTTTTGTATTACTACTTACGCCGAAATGTAATAATTTAGAATTTGATCTATACAATAAGAACTTTTTTGATCACTTTATAATTTTTAAATTTATTAACTTTCGGGGATGGAAATGACAAACTAAATTATTTTAAGAGACGGCGGTAGCCTATCCTTCTGCTACGTTGGATACCTATACTCACCGAAATGTGCCATTTCAAGTGTTATGTTTGCTGCGACATCAATAATTGCCATTACTTTTGACTGCTATTTGGGATAACAATCTGTAATAGTACATTTTATGTCTTTGCAAATAATTATTACAAAGCCAAAACAATGTTACAATTTAAATTAGTTTTACAAGAAAAGAGTTCGCATTACAAATAATTTCAATTTGTATACCCACATTTTTGGTTAGTCACCACACTAGGCTTACGTGTCGTACTGACCAATTGCACATTATGACATAATAATTGAAAATCGATTCTAAATTTAAAAATGTTTTTTTAATTAACGTTCAAGTGCGTCGATGAAATAAACCTCCCGCCAACATCGAAATGTCAGTTGCAAACGTATCTTACTGAAGTTAGCGTTCACAGAGAGGTTATAAATCTCGTCGACACGAAATGGCTGACCAGCTCCATCCCCCTTTCACAATTCTATGTTGCCATAGCCGAGCTGCTGCAAAAGTGTGCGCCATAAATTTTATAGGAGCAGCAGTGTGCGGTAAAACTGAACTAGAGGCTGTGTGTGTGTGAAAATTCGTGTTGGGCCCGTCAGACGAGTGGACACTACGAGTTTTGCTTTGTATTCGTATCGTGTACTACGGAAGTGACGTACCTACGAGTACTACATATAGGAGTAACGAATTAATCTAAAATAAATGGATAGTGCAAACAATGCATTTAATTTGAGTCACTTAGCGGTTATTTTGAGTAAGCAGTCGTACGATACACTAAGTTTTACTTTGAATAATTAATGGTAATTTGGTTTAGTTATAAGTAAGAATTGTTTATTGTACGATGAATTATGAATAATAGGACACAATTAACTTATTACAATGGCGGACTCATATCAAATGAAAGATTGTATTGTATTATTCAATAATATATCCATAAAAATTTTGATGTTGATAGGTAAATTGTTTAATTTATATATTGGGGATTTTTATACTTATATTTTCGAACGTTTCTAATTTATTTGTGACAAACATATTTCATTAGGAACCATAATATACCTATTAGTCATTAAACTTATTCCATTTTATATATATTATTGACTTTTTTTTATATTAATTTCTTTGTTTTTAATTGGTATCATAGTAAGTAGTTTTCTCTACAATTTAGTCAGCTAAATTAGCTTATGAAAGAACGGTCATCCATCAAAATATATATTTTTTAAATTAGTAATAGAGAAAGGAGTTGTCTCCACAATTTAGTCAGCCAACTTGACTAACGAAAGAACTGTCGCCCATCAAAATATTTTATTTCAATAGTAATTGAGAAAGTTGTTGTCTCTACAATTTAGTCAGCCAACTTGGCTAACGAAAGAACTGTCACCCATCAAAATATTTTTTATTTCATTAGTAATTGAGAAAGTAGTTGTCTCTACAATTTAGTCAGCCAACTTGGTTAATGAAAGAACTGTCACCTATCAAAATATTTTTTATTTCATTAGTAATTGAGAAAGTAGTTGTCTCTACAATTTAGTCAGCCAACTTGGTAACGAAAGAACTGTCACCTATCAAAATATTTTTTATTTCATTAGTAATTGAGAAAGTAGTTGTCTCTACAATTTAGTCAGCCAACTTGGCTAACGAAAGAACTGTCACCCATCAAAATATTTTTTATTTCATTAGTAATTGAGAAAGTAGTTGTCTCTACAATTTAGTCAGCCAACTTGGCTAACGAAAGAACTGTCACCCATCAAAATATTTTTTATTTCATTAGTAATTGAGAAAGTAGTTGTCTCTACAATTTAGTCAGCCAACTTGGCTAACGAAAGAACTGTCACCCATCAAAATATTTTCTTCATTAGTAATTCAGAAAGTAGTTGTCTCTACAATATAGTCAGCCAACTTGGCTAACGAAAGAACGGTCACCCAAATTCCGGCTGTGTGCATATTTTTCGCGGTCTTTTTTCACTTTTTTTCTTAGTGACGACGTAAGGCCTTTCATGTAGCTTTCCATTCGGCCGGTTCAAAGCGCTGAAAGAAGTGTGAAACCGGCCGTGAGCATCGGCAGTCAGGTGTGGTTAACTCACAGTACTGGACTTCCCTCGGCCTGAAGCCACTTAGTCTGCCGACTGTCACTAAAAATATCTATTCGTTTATTTTTAAAAAGCCTACCTAACGGTCCGCACAGACGACCACGCAGACTTTCCACAAAGCCTTTTATGTAATTGTTCAACTAATGTTTTCTACGTTTTATTGCGGAAACTCTTAGGTCTATGGGAAAAATGTGAAAGGCAAAATGCTGTTAGGTCTATGGTAAAAGGCGTAAATAAAGCAAAGGCTACACTGCTATGTAAAGTGTTTGTTGGATCATTCTTATCTCTGGAATTGGTCAGGTTTCGTTGCCTAATTTTTGTAAGTTATACGCTGTTAAACATCACGCTACGACCCTTAGGGGCTAACAAATAGAAAAAACTCTAAAGCCTGGCCTATAGTCGATGGGCATAGAAAAGTAGACGAAATCGCTAGTAACAACTAGTTATCAACTATTTATTATTTTTATATCTCCTTCGATATTCATTCTGTTACTCTAAGGTTACCTTGAAAAGATACCTTTTACCTTGAATTTATAAAGTATTAACCTTGATAATTTGCAAGGGCGACCGCGTGGAGGTCTATTCGCTAGCAAAGAAGCTCTCAATCCTACCTCTCCTATCTATCTATGTGTAACGCTATCGGGTACGCATTCAGAAGTACATATTTACTTATAAACGTAGGTAAAGTGGAGAGTACAGCACAAAAACGCATCTTTCTCCCCACAGCCACCCCAGCGGCCGGCGGGCGAATACATTCGACTAGCCCATTTGCAATATCGCATTGTGTGTGTGTCTGTATATGGACGGAACTGGCCGTGTGTGCGTGCAGTTCCACACAAACGAGAGTTTGCTTAGCCTGTGCGTAGGTTTACTTAGGGATGTGTCATTCGATAAAAAAAATCAATGATCTTGTAATAATTGATTGATTTTTTTTATAATATTTCAGTTTTCTTAACATATTTAAAATTTTTCAGCCCATTGGCCTCTGAGTGTAGACAGTTGTACCTACATTTTTGTTATTAAAGTGACCATTTAGTTTATTTTTATTTGTAATTTTTTATAAAAAGTTATATTCCAGAAGTCTATTAATTATTCAATAAGTTCGATTAATAGATTAATAGATTTTGGGAATAATAAAATCGATTAATAACATATGCTATTAATATAAATGTAAAAGCTTTTTAAAATATTTTTATTAAATAATAATCGATATTCCCGTAATCGATTATATTATTTTTCGCATCCCTAGCGTTTACCACGTACTGTACCTACCTACGTATGTACTCGCTATTGGTTTTCTGCAGTACCGTTGGGCTTTAACAAATTTCAAATTCACAAAATCGTGATTGGTTGGTATTTTGTTTGAATAAGCGGACACTACCGACGCGGCTTAAAATTTGCTAGCCCGTAATTCGTTTAGGCATAAAATGATGAGTTTTATCCAATTTGTTTACGTTAACAACGTGATTGTTATGTATTTCTGTCGCCCAATTGCAGTCTGTTTGTTTTGCACTCAGACTGATATTTTATCATTAGAAATACATCAGCCAGTCGAGCTGTAGTCTATTTCTGTGACTAATCATAGACTAATATTATGAAGTGAAAAGATTTGATTTTATGGTTATGGATGAATAAAAAAAACATATCTATAAACTTACTATATTTATTAACATTTAAATATATAAGACGTATGTTATTTTATATATAACATATAGCGAAGTACTTATTAAATCGTTTATCCTGACTAAATATTATTAATGGATAACCGAAACTGTAGAAACTGAAATATAGAAAGCTTAATTTAGTAGTTTTATTTAATAATACATCCCAAAGAAATCATTTTGGAAATACTCGTAAGTTATAAATTTCAACAATAAGCGTACCAGAACACCTTAAAGTAAAGATATTAAAAAAAACTACATCGATCACGCGTCATTATTGAAAGCATTATCGCTACAAATGAAGCAATTAAGTGTGCACGCGCCACTACACCTACGAAACCGGATGACAGACGCTCTAATAAACATCTAAGATTCCAAATATCAATTTCTCTAGACTCATTCGACCACATCCACGTCACTATCGTAAAATTTGAATTCGGAACCCGGAAGTGCGCTACAAAAACTCAACCAATCAACCCTTGAATTCGATATTCGAAATCCAAACTTGCCTATTCACGACGTTGTCAGCCAGCATGACGTTGATAATTCGAACTTTGAAATAGAACAATGTACGGCTTCCTTCAAGACGTCGTTGTTTAATTGAGAAGGGCACCGAATTGAAACTGATCGTGTAAAGGAGCATCATCGTATTGACTAATGAAAGTTCATTTTAATTCTTATTTCCTTAATAATAAGGTGTTAATTTTAAAAACAAAGATAGTAGGTATTTGCTAAGTCACTACACACATGGTAAAACGTACTAAACATATGCTATATAGAATTATATAAATGTTAATTTGGGACCTCATTTTGCATCTCTACATACGTATATAATATGTAGCAACCCACTCACACAAATAAATATTATGTAAAGGCTACGCATTGATGTGATAAAAATAATTATAAACATTTTCTTAAAACAGTCCGTCTCTTAGATCTCGGAACTGTGCTATTTTTTTCTTAAAGCTTGATCATAGAAAATATTATTACGAGTGCATTGGTTGATAATTTTCAAATTCGTAATATCCTACAACTCTCTCCGTATTAATCAACAATGATTGTTTTTTTATGGGGAACAATTTTTAATTTCGAATATATTGGGTCCATTATAAAATCAGAATTTTATAATAAAAAGCAAGAAAATCTAGCAATACCTCTGACTACCTCGTCAAGGATAACAGTCGTGAAGGTACGTTTTATTCGTAACGGAACTAATAAAATAATATGGAGTAAAGATAATGCCACACCAACGTCCAGAACGCGGCAGATGTGCAAGTCGCGCGCGGCGACCGGTACGCCACCGCGACAGCTTGGCAGACCGTTGTAATTATAATATCTAAAACTGTATATGATATCGCACCGATGCCAACACTCTGTAGAATTAAGAAAAAATAAACATAGACAATTTTGTATTTGTTTCATAACGGTGTGAATAGTTGGAGGAATATTTTTATTTTTATTTAGTGTTACTCTAAGTAGAGACTAGTTAGAGTTACAATAAATAAATATAAATAAAAATAACATATTTAGAGAGATTTAGAAATGAATTATGTAATTTATTGCTGATATTTATTAAATAGTAATGATAAAATTAGGTATAATATTTTTTCTCACTTAATTCATACAAACATTTTCTTTGACAATATTTAGATAATTCAAAATATTTTATCAGTTTCATTGCTACGATAGTATTGTTACGAGTAATAATATTATTTTTATTTCTGTGAATTTCATACCCTCAGAATACATATAGTTAGTCATTAAATTAGTTCATATTTGGGAATTAAGTATTTTATTTCGTTTTAATTTGTTATACCTATTACTTGATTATTTATTTTTATTTATTATTTGATACAATGCTATCTATAAATGATTTTAAATATAACTATAAGATCCTTTTTTTATGTATGCTAGTCTCAGAAGTAAATAAATATTATATGGGTCATAAAACTGTTCGAAATAAATAAAATTAAACTTTTCTTTAGTATCAACAATAACTCCATATATCTTTTCAGATATGTTTTATTTTAAACTAAAAGAAAGCTATAGTTTTTAGATCGTATCTATCAGTTTGTATGTCTATCCTAGCTGTCTACTCGTACGTCAAAATGCCAACCCAGTTAGGGAATGAACGGTAATAATTTTCGTCGCAGGACATACCGCGTATTATGGCGATGTGTATACACCCTAATTACTTACAAGCATGCAATGATCGTAATCTTTTTATTGTCTTAAAAAATAAGATAGTATTATTATATTTTTTTTGCACGAAGACAATTAATAAATAAAATTAATTATTGTAGTTCTAAAATAAATAAAATTCAGTTATTTTTATGTTTTATGCTCATGAAATATATGATTTTTAAAGTAAATTGTCAAAACTAAATGAAAATTATAATATCTAAATATACGAGTATGGTCTCCCTGACAAAAAATTGTTTCCTTCATGTGATACATAAGTATTTAAAAGAGTTAAATGAGTTTTAGCATATAATACTAATACAAAAAATATATGCTGCCGGTATTTTTTTTTCTCGTTTAGTTTATTTTTATAATAATTATTTTCGTTTAAAAATTAGCTTTAAATGATTCAGTTTATTAAAATTATTACTAAAACTACTAAGTTTTTAATGAAATGAATCTAGAGTGTAATATTTTTTTTTTAATTTACCATTACTAAAGTAAGATAAGAACTGTCATCCCAAGTCATTTTAAACTGATATCTCGACATTTATAAAAACAAATAAGTAACTGTACAGCATGTAACAAATGCACGAAATGGTCCCTCTGACCACAGCACGGAGACATGATCGCAAACATTCCAGGAACTACCCCTCAACACCATAATCGCCCCAATATCCCATGGGAACGGTGTATTTGAACAATATAACATTAAAACAATGGCTGCCGTCCCGTGGCTTGTTTGCTAAGATACCGTGTGACCGGAGATAAAACAATAGTCCTTAGCCACAAGCACAAAAGAAAGACTCCAAGGAATCGCCGGCCAGTGAAGGGGTTAAATGTATAAAAAGGATTGTAACTTTCATTGTTAATTAAAAAATATTGTTCACTATCATAACGTAAAAAAAATATACTTTTGTAAGTCAATGAATAATTCATTAATGGGTTGGTTATCTTAATCTTAATATTGGATATAGTCATGTATTTTTTTTTTAATCTAAGTTTTAGAACAGTAATTTGAAACGACTTAATTTCTTCCTTTTTTTACATATACCTGCATTTAATAAAAATAATACTATTTTATTAATGATACATTTTTTATTATTAGTTGCAACCTCTAATAATTAAATATTGGGCAAAACATACGCCATAATTTATTGTATTCGATTTAATCGTATTTTTACTGTATTGAGATATTGAGATCAGAAAAGAATGAGATCATGATTCTAAGGTTCCTGGTGATCGTGATGGATGATGAATTATATACTACTGAGTATTTCTTCAAAATGTAGTATTTTGTTTTATTTTCATAATAATTAAAATAATTTGATACCACAATATATATTATAACATGAAGCACCGGACACAAAAATCACTTGCCCTCTCAAAGCCCTCTCATTACCGCACTCGGCCCGGGCGGCGACTTCCCAACTACGCTTCCTAACCATAGTTCTCACAATCAAAAAAAGATTTGTCACTTAGCTGTTAAGGGGCGGAAGGAGCAGTTCCCGGAGCGGTCGCGCGGCAAACGATTATCGCCCTTAAGTGTATCGGTTACAACCGCCGAGTGACCCTTGAGGTTGATGCGTTCGGATATCTAAACAAAAAAATATTTTTATATAATTCATTATTTTATATATTCATACTGAAAAAAATACTACGCTTAATTTTAAAGCGTGAAAAAGACTTCAAAGTTACATACTTAATTTATATTATACAATAGCTATAGCTATACAATATATATAGCATTATGTAATTTAAATAATAAAAAAATACGAAATCGCTTTAATAATAATAATAATAATAAAAAAAATACGCATACATAAAATCGCTACAAAACAATTATGTGTCTTATCGCTTTAGTGTGTTATGTAAAGTATATTAAATAAGAATTTTAAATCAATCAGCTTAAGTAATGTCCGAACAAGCCCGCACGCGTATCCGAACAAGTAAAGTCAGACGCAGGGCCCACAGGAAGGAAGTGTAAGGCGACCGCGTGAGAAGTGCGCGCACGTCGTGAGAACCACAGGTTCTATTTCATTATCCTTAATACTCAAGATAATTTATACAACAGGTAATTTATGATAAAGATGTTTGTCATATTATTCAGACAAATATACTTATAATGACAATATCCGTTTATAAAAATAGTGTTATTTCCGTATAGAATTAATCTTTTTAAAAATTGTCTTGTTATTATTACAATGATAAATAATTGAAATATGCATCAAATATGCACAGCGTTCAATATTATAATAAGAAAAAATAATAAAAAAATAACCATACCTATATTATACTGAACCAATATGGTCATTCAGAATAGCGCTAGTTACGCAGATCGCATAAATCTACATTGTTGTAGTATATTAGTAATCATATATACTAGTAACTATTGCACTATGGCCTGTACTTGTATTTGGCATGTATTAAAACATTATTCTTCTTTTTATTCTCAATAATGATTAAATGATTTGAGAAAATCTCTTTATCATAACTTGTTCTAGTTTACGAGTAGTTTCCGAGATGAGTCACTAACTGGTACACGAGGGGTTCAATAAAAAGAGATCACCGCCAATCGTTCCGTACTGAAGATCAGGGTGCGACGACCTTGCTGTATGGGACATGCGATGAGAGGCTGCGGAGTGGATGTCGGGCATTCGAATTAATTATCGTACAAAAATTGAAAATAGAATTTCTTAACAAAATTGTAGTAGGTACTCACATTTTACTTATACAGCTATTAATTGATCAGAGAAGGATTATAAAAATTGACGAAAATATCGCGTAACCTCCATCGGTTAAAATGTTACTTAATTAACAATATACACATTTGAAATCAATTAAAAAGTTCTTATTGAATCCTCTAATTTAGGGAAGTTAAGTTTATTATCTTATTAAATTCTTTATTATTATTGCTAGTACTAAAACAATCCGTCTATTTTTTACTATAATCATGAGAAAGATAATGTTCTTCTCCAGTGACATTTAATAATTTTTATTAGACAAATTCGTCACAATTGGGAAAGTAGGTAACGATAGGTAATAAAAATGTAAACATAACCTGCGTTAACAAGACTAAACCTTGTTATAACTTCAGACGTCGGACCTCCCATCACTTGTGCAGTACGGTTTTGAAAGTGCGAGCTCCCGACCGGAAGGTGCGGGGCACAATCTCGGCGTCCGGTCCGGACGACTTCCGTCAAACGCGCCCGCCCGTGACCTGCGCACGCGACGGTGGCTTCAATTATGTGACGATATTGAAATTTCATTGGTTTCAATTCACGTTTAAACCATATTTTAATATTTTTTTAAATAAAATATAAGGTAATAATTAATTTAGAATTTTTGTTAATTATTAATAAATTCAAAGGTAATTAATAAATACTTACCAAATTAATAATTATTTAAAAAAAGCTACAACATTTTAAAGTACAACATCAAACTTTATTTTTCAAGAAAATTTTATGGCAAAATTATCTAAACAAATTTGAATGAAAACTTATTGAAATCTAAATTCTATCACTAATATTTTTATTACTATATTTTTCTAACCCTCAAAACTGCTAATACGACCCGAGTCACCGTACAAATGAACTGAAAATACCCAGGGTGTCTTTTATAAACTGTAGCGGGATATTTCCGCTAAAATCGTCTCTCGATCCCCACAGAGATCTTATTCCGTAGTGCAGCGGGAGTTTTTAACCCAAAATAAAGAATAAGCCGAGGTCGAGACGAGGTGAAACTAAATAAGATTTTGTTTACATTTTTAACTAAGTACAGTTAAATGTAAATAAACATTAGATATTACGTTATATTGCTAACATATTACTTACATTATATGACTTATTAATTCGAGGATTTCTATGACGCAGGTATAATGTAAAGTAACGTGTTACATGAGGTCTCATGTTCGATTATTATTTCTGTCACATCAAGGAACAAATTTATACGAATTGGGTCCATACTGGATTGTATAGTTAGTTTACCCGTAATATTCTTTCTTCCCTTAATTGATTATACTAAATGTATAGTATCCTCGCTTGAGGATTAGTTAATCTATGTGTATAAGCAGTATGTTTAAGTTGAAATATTTTACATCTTTCTTACAGGTTTTCTAAATTCTTCTGAAGTGTTCTTAGATGTTATCTTGTTTCTTAATCTTCTAGTTTATCTCGTTTTTCATAACAAATGATACCCTAAAGGAATGAGCTTTGAACAGGAACAGCTTAAAATAAAGGATCATGATTCAGCAATCACTGTTTTAGGCTGATCCGCGGAACTGTCATTTGTGACCACTTCCCTACCGATATTAAAAATATCTATTATGTATACATATAATATATATGTATACATAATAGATATTTTTAATATATTATAGTATAGGTTTATATATATCGGTATAGAATATAGTCAAGCAAGCACGTCCTAATTACTTACCTTATTATAATTGGCGCGTAGGTGCGCGCATTAATTATTCATTACCTGTTCACCCCCCATTTGACCCGACTTGAGAAACGCTAGTTAAACTCACGAGGGCTCCACTATTTTTGTATTGGAAGCTTATTTTAATTGCATATTATTCTACCAGCTGACCCGCACAACTTCTGCTTCATACTTACATGACATTTATCATTATATTTCACCCAATTTACATGAAAGTGTATTTTTCTGTCTATTCATTCTTATTGTCACTTTTGAAATATATGTGTTTTTACCAAGAGCGATTATGTCTTCACTATAAAATTATTATACAGTCCTCAAGAATCCAGTCGTTAAAACTTTTAGTAAGTCACGATTGCAGTATCTAATTAAGATACTATACTCGTAACTTCTAAAAAATATTATAAAGTAAAATAAATTAAAAATAATACTTTGTACAAATTATACAAAACTATTTGCTCCAGACTGCGTTTAAAAAGTCGATGTTGTTCTTGAGGTGGCGTGGGGTTGCTGGGGTGGTCAAGTGTCCCCACCCCCATCCCTGTGCGTAACCAGATGCCGCGGAAAATGTTAATGTTAAATTATGGGGAAAAATAAAGAAGACTTAACACAGACTCGCTAAGACGAAAAGTACTTTTCAACTGTTGGAAGGCGTAGTTTAATTTCTTTAATATTTTTGTTTAATGTCGTCGTTAATTTTAATGATGTTGTAGTGAACTCCTTAATGGATTTTTAAATTTTAATAATCATATATTTTTGACATACTCTTTTTGTAATAGTATTATATATCGCTTATATTATATATGTTATAGTATTATATATCGCTGTCGATTTGTCGCATTTTTAATTATCTCTAAGTTTTTCCCTATTTTTCTCATAAAACCATTAATACCTCTCTCTTATCAGATCAGATGTCATATATAAGCGTACAGTATAGTTTTGACTTCTGCTAAGTACCGAATACATTACAGTCGTCCTTCTTTGATGAATTATATGTTTAAACAAAACTACAGTCTGTTTAATTTAATAGCGCAATTATTGCATAATAAAGACATAAGACTGTGTGCTGTCTTTAGAAAATTTATTGAAATATATAAAAAACCATACATATACTTTTTGATTAAAGAAATGTTATAACAAAATCACTTTAAAATAGATGCTTAGAAGCCTTTTTTATAATCCTCTTTCTTTAAATACATTACTAGAAGAGATGGACTGTGCTATGATCAATTAATTCATTAATAAATAATTAATTGTTAATAGAATTCAAATAAACTTATTACAATTAATAAATTACAGCATCCTTATTTATCTTTATTACCTGCAAGTCATTAACAAACATTCTGATGCTCAAACACGTAGCTCCAAAGGTTGGAGACAGAAATACAAGTATCTATTTAAAGGGGACCAAGAAAGCGTCTCAGGTGGAAGACAAAAGGTGTGTCATGTCATGTAGGTGCGTGAAAGGGCAGACAATGTCATGTATCAAGTTCACAGCCTGTGCAGGTTAACCGAGCGTCCTTTATGTACACTGCGCCGCAGAGATTTGTGTATTATCGTGTAATATATTTTACATACATCACACTTTTTAATATATGTATATTTCTTAATTCTTTAAAATAAACAACGTCTATTTTCAATTATTTTCTAATAAGTCCCCCCGTAACAAATCTTTAAATTTTTAAATAATAATTTTAAAACATCTAATAATAATGTTCATAGATATTCTTCATAATATATTTATATTAAACCCATGTCATAATTTAACATTATTTTAGGATATAATCTTAAATCACATCTGTTTTAAATTGCTGCAGGTCCGATACATATACATATAGATACTACAATTATATTGTTATACCACCTACAAATTAATTTACCCACAGAGTTACTCATAAAGCTTTATTCCATTCTATTCTAAAAAAACCTCCATAGATCCGCAAATTTTTTTCTCCACTAATTGCTATTATTACTTACGAAAGGTACGAAAATCAATAGAAAATAAAGTAAAAAGGAACAAAATTTCCACCTGGATGGCAGATTAAAGTCGTCAGCGTGCAATCTAGTGATCAAGTTTTAACGAAATTTGGTAGCATCGGTCTCCGGATAAACAAATAAGTCCTCGGATACAGACTGGGTGCTGTCGCAAAATGTTATTTGAAAATTTAGTGACGGTAGTTGAACAAACTACTGACATTGACATCGCTGTACACCAGTCACCTCGTGACCACGGCTAGTGCAACTCAGTCGAAACTATTTGTGCTAAGAGTTTAAATCTCAACTAAATTATAAAAAAGTGTAGAAATCGTAAAGGTTTAAAAGCTTTTTTAAACTTACTGGTATGTAATAAATTTGTAACAGATTTTGGGTAAATTGCATATATGATGTTATTGAAAATGTGGCACTTGTAAAATCTGCTTATATCAAGCATACAAATCTAAAAATTAATTAATTAATCTTTAGGTATTAAATTATCAAATGTTTATATAATTATTAACTAGTCTATACGACAATTTGTATGTAAATCTAAATCGTCAGGTATCATTTGTCATTGTAGTTTCCATAAACTCCTTAATAGAGTAGAAACATATGGAAACTAACCATTTATGAAGTTTTCTTCTAAATAATATTCTAGAGAGAGCTCTTATGTAATAAGAAAACTTATTAAATATTTTTATCGCCAAGCAAAATGGACTTTTTTGTGTGTAGATAGTTTTATTGTAGGTACTTTTATTTTACTTGTATGACTGACTTTTACGCATACTGATTTTTTGATCGTTGTCTGCTTTAATGGAAATATTCAGCTTATAAACTGAAGTATAGGTTACAAGTTAAAGATCCACCTGACGGTACGTGGTTACCGTCAGTATATATATTTCTCATTAACTGTACATGAAAATGAATCTTTGCCACTAAGATTTAGAAATCACACAAAGCGTCAACTGTACAATACGTATGTAACATAATATTATGATCCAAGTGTGGGAATTAACTAGAGCATTGCCTTCTTCGGTTTTTACTAACAAAGACATTTTGTTTTTGAAGCATTGAGATGTTTAATACATTTTGTCTATTTATATGCCGTTATAACAATGTAACAACAAACAATTACTTAGGAAATAATTAATAAATCTTACTAATATTATAAACGTGGAAGTTTGTGTAGATGGATGTATGTTTGTTACTCTCTCGTGCACTACTGAATTGATTTTAATGAAACTTTACAATAATATAATTTATACATCAGAATAATGCATAGCCTTTAAATTCTCGCAGGTGGGACCGTAACCACAGCTAGTTTGTAATAGAACAATAATAAGTGTAATGTACTTAAATAAAATTAATTTCATTTCATGATAAATATTGAGAAGTACAACTATACCACGTAGCATCAATTGAAATACATATATACATATCTTCTCTATATATATATCTCTATATATATGTAAGAGATTAAATCATCTCGGCTATATTTTTCCTTCCACAAAAGTCTAGGCTGAAAACTTGGTGGGCCCCATCTTACCCCTTTTAGGGGGCACTCGAGACCCTTATCTGTTGGAAGTTTGTACAGTATAGTGCATCGTAGGGGGCCCCTTCAGTGTCGTATCTTGAGTTGTCATGTTGCAGTGCAAGTGAATGATGAATATTTACAACTATCAACCCATCCAGACTTCACACGGGTTATACGCATCGCAATTTTTAAAAATAAATTACAGATAATTGTTACGTATTGATGATAGATATAATATTTTTATATAGCTAAAATTATTTTTTAATTTAGTAAACTGTTTTGAATTTAGTCCTTACTAGCGCGACTTCTTGACATTTTTCCTATCGGCTATCCAACTCTAAAAGAAATTTTTTTAATCAGTTCAGTAGATTCAGAACCTCCTACAACCTCACAAACCCGCAAACTTTACCACTCGAGTACTCACTTAGTATAAGAAAATTATTCATGTCAGCTTATAAGCAGAAATTGGTAATTGGCAGCAAATATATTTATTATTTATTATATATATATATTAAAATTTTTATATATAAAGGTATTCTTTTTTGGTTGTGTATATATCTTTTTTTTGTAAATATAATTATAATAATTTTAACAAATTTATAAGATACCGTATATTCAGTG